AATGATTAGAAAACACCTGTTTGATCTTGATGAATATAAATCAACAGGACCTGACGGATTTCATCCCACAGTTTTGAAGGAGCTGGAGATGTCATCTCAGAACCATTGTACCAGACCTTTCAAAAAATCTTGGAGCACCAGGGAACTGCCAGAGGATTGGGAAAGAGCTGATGTAGTTCCCATCTTCAAAAAAAGGGGGGGGAAACAGACCCAGGAAACTTCAGAACAATCCGTCTATCAATACCTGGGAATATACTGGAAAAAAATAATAAAAAACAGATCTGTGAACTTCTAGAAACAAATAAAGTTATAACTAGTAGCCAGCATGGGTTTGTAAAAACAGATCTTGCCAAACACTCTTATTTCATTCTTTGACAAAGTGACTAAATTAGTGGACCAGTGAAATGTTGTGGACATAGTATCCTTAGATTTCAGCAAGGCATTCAACAAAGTAGACCACAGCCTACTTCTTGATAAACTAGAAAAGAAATAGAGGAAAGAAATACTCATGTGCGTATGCTGTTTGTCAACTTCAGTTCGTCATTTAACACAATCATTCCCCAGCATCTAGTAGACAAACTGGGTCTTTTAGGCTTAAACATTCCTTTGGGCAACTGGATTCTTGATTTTCTTATTGACAGACCCCAGTATGTTCAAGCTGGAACAAACATTTCTAACACTATTTTCTTGAGCACAAGTTCTCCTCAGGGCTACATCCTAGGTCCTGTTCATCCTGTTGACCGATGACTGTTGTGCTACGTTTGCCACTAACCATATTGTGAAGTATGTGAACAATACAACAGTAGTGGGTCTTATTCAAGATGACAATGAGGGTGCTTACTGCAAGGAGGTTGAGGGTTTGGTGAACTAATGTAAGAAAAAAGCCTCACAAACTCAGAAAGAACCTAGGAAAGATTCCATGGATGAAAATCCTAAAGAGGAAAACAACCCAAGAAGCGTGGGAAACTCTGAAAAATGCGATCATAAAAGCCCAAATCAGCACAATACCACTGAAAAAGAAAAACAAGAAATTCAAAAAGAAACCAGCATGGCTGCTCAAAGATCTCTCTGACAAACTGAAAGACAAAAAGGACAAAAAATGGAAAGATGGGCACATAATTAAGGCCAATTATCAGCAGACAGCCAAAACATGAAAAGATGAAGTCAGGAAAGCAAGGGCTCAGAACGAACAAAGACTTGCAACAGAAATCAAGGATAATAAAAAAAAAGTTTCTTCCAACATATTAACATGAAAAAAAGTTAAGGAAACTCTAGGTCCACTAAAAAGAAAAGATGGCAAGGAAATGAAAGGCAGTAGGGAGAAAGCAGAGCTGCTTAACTCATACTTTGCATCAGTCTTCACAAAAAAAGAAACTATAGCCCAACATACCAAAAAAAAACCACTGCAAAAGACAAACTATAAACAAAAATTAAAATAAGCAAGAAAATGGTAAGAGAACACCTATCCAACCTTGATGAATATAAATTACTGGGACCCGATAGATTACATCCCAGAGTTTTGAAGGAGCTGGCAGATATTATCTCAGAACCATTGCACCATATCTTTCAAAAATCCTGGAGCACCAGGAAAAAACGGACCCAGGAAACTACAGACCAATTAGTTTAACATCAATACCTGGGAAGATCCTAGAAAAGATAATAAAAAAACAGACCTGCGAACAACTAGAAGCAAACAAATTTATAACTAGTAGCCAGCACGGGTTTGTTAAAAACAGATCATGCCAAACCAATCTTATTTCATTCTTAGATAAAGTGACTAAACTAGTAGACCAGCGAAATGCTGTGGACGTAGTATACTTAGATTTCAGTAAGGCATTTGATAAAGTAGACCACAACATACTCCTTGGTAAGCTAGACAAAGGTGGAATAGACAACATCACCACCAGATGGATCTGTAACTGGCTGACAAACCGTACTCAACGAGTATCCCTCAATGGCACTTACTTAGTTAGTAGGGAGTGATCGGAAGAAAGAAAAACTCAGAAATAAAGTAGGAGATATAGGAAGCATAGCCAGGGTCAGCCACACAGGACTGCGATGCCCATACGCAAACACTCAAAGTTTGAGATCACTACATCTCTACAGAAATGCACAAAACCAAGAATCAAAGCCTCGTAGAATGCATATGGGTCAATATAAAAGGAAAAAAGAATGACATTGCTATAGGCATATACTGCAAGCCACACAACCAAGCAGAAGAAACAGATGAACTTTTTGCTAACCAGTTAATAAATCTATGTAGGAAAACAGTAGTAATGGGAGACTTCAACTATCCTGATATCGAATGGGAGACAAATTCTGCAGCAAGTGGGAGATCGAACAGATTCCTGACCAACTTAGCTGTCAACTCTGTCATCCAAAAGGTAGAGGAGGGAACCAGAGGAAAAGCTGTATTGGACCTAATTCTTACTAACAGAGAAAAAGTGACAGAGGGGGTTGAAGTTTCTGGAACTTTGGGCGAGAGTGACCATATTGGAAGACCTCCAAGCTCCCTTCCAAGTCTGTTATTCTGTTATTCCGGTGTTCCAGGTAGCAGGGATGGCATCACATCTCTTTGCCCCCACCAGGTGATGAGTTAAGTGATGAGGCTCATAGCGGCCAACCTGATCAGGTCTCACCAGATGGAGAGACAGCAAGGAACAGGCAGTCCGACCAAACCAATCCAGGCTCTGAACCATGGAAATTGCTAAATTGCCACACACTTGCATGAAAAGCATGACCACTCTGAGAATTTATTTTTTCTAAAGTTTTCTTGAGAATTGGATCTAAAACTAAATTAAAATTCCAAACTGCAATAATTTGGCCCACCTGTAAATCAGAAAGATTTGCAAAACACTTACATAAAAGGTCAGGCTAGTTTGACCATATAAAACTTGATTTGGGCCATCCAACTCTCTCCATTATCAACCACCCAAAACATTTATAGCTCAGCTGTAAAACTAGAGGATTTCTTAATTCGCATTGTCATTCCTCTGGCAATTTTTTAATTTCTACTTGTATAAATCTATTCCCCACTTCCCCCATCCTTGACAGCCAAAATATGTTTCTCATCAGAGCAAATGTGAGGATGAATTTCAGATAGCAATTGCAACCCCAGAATAATCCCCTAGAATTACACAAGGTTAGCGTCTATAAAGACCATCCTTGAAAGGGGGGGGGGAATTCCTCCCCATTGTTGTTGGCGGAGGGGTTGCCATCCTTTTCCTTGAATTTATTCTTTTATACTGAGACATCCAGAAATTTTGGCTTTTTGTTTTGTTCTGTTTTGTTTTCATCTGGCATGACTGTGATTGTATCAAGTCATTACTTATTTTAATGGCATTTTATAGTTTGTGGCTTTTATATTTCATTTCCAGATCAAAATTTTCTTGCTCAAACTGTTTTGCAAAAGAAATTTCAATGTTCTGCAACTTTGCATTTTAACTTGCCCCATTATCACTTTCTCTTTTTTCTTTTAAATAATTCTAAATGTAAAATTAAATATTAATTTATAATATTTACATTGGTTATATCAATTATATGTTTTTCTTTTACCAAAAATTGGGTTTCTACTGTGAATGTTAAAGATTTAAGCAGTATATCTAAGAAGAAAATATAAAATGAAATATCTAAAAAAACAAAAAATATATAATTAAAGTATAAATTGAAGTTGTTGAAGCTTGCAGTTGCTTTTTGCAAGAAATTTCCAATAGTGTAATGCATGCTTGGCAAATTTATTCATTGTTTCTACAAATGCTGGAAGAGCCCCTTCTACACTGACAGATTTACTTAGAACTGGCCTCAGAAGAGGGACATGTATATATTATAAAAGGAAACAACTTAGAATCACAGAGAGAAAAAGGAGATTGGAGATACTGCCACTTGCTCAGCAAGATGTAGGCTGAAGGACAAGAGAAATAGTGAGGGAAAAGTGACCCAAGGTCAGGAAAAAAATGTATGCTGATTAAAATGACCGGCCATGGGGATAATATTCCCAGGTTTCAGAAGGGAAAGGAAAACATAGGAATAGTTTACCTGTTCTGAAGAAAGAAAAAGGAAGGAAGGAAGGAAGGAAGGAAGGAAGGAAGGAAGGAAAGAAAGAAAGAAAGAAAGAAAGAAAGAAAGAAAGAAAGAAAGAAAGAAAGAAAGAAAGAAAGAAAGAAAGAAAGAAAGATTTAAATTTCTGATGGGTTAGAAAAATGTAAAGCACAGAGGTATATTGTCACCCCCTCAGTTTTGGAGACATGGCAAAGAGGCCATGATGTTACACTGAGTTGGATCTACAACCGTCCTTGCAACTACTCATCAAATCAATCCAGCCCTTCCTTTTTATTCTCATATAGTCATACTTTGATACTCAACTGCTTTAAAATTTGTGGAGTTTGGTACTTGACGCATTTTGATGTGGAAATGTTGTCCTGGTCCTGGTTGTTTCTTGGGTGCTCCAGGTGCAAGCTAGGACTTGTTGGTGTCAGTTACCTGCTGACTCGCTACCCTTTCCTGCTGAAACAAAGGGTCACACCTTGAGTCAGGCAGTAGCTCTAGCCCTGTGCACATCATCTTGCAGTCTTGCCTTAGGGTCTGTGGCCATTTTGTGTAGTTTTGCAGTTCTGTGAAAAAGTTGAAAAGGTGTTACTAATTTGGGTAAAAGAGAAGCAGTTACCAGGTGAGCGTATTGGAAGCCACGATATGTGAAAAAGCAAAGCCTCTCTTTGGAAAAACAAACTGGCACCAAGTGAGATTGCTAAAGTATTTAAGGCCAGCCACAGCTGGTTTCATAATTAAAAAAAATCTCAGTTCAGGTAAAGTGAAGTTTTCTTTTAGAAAGTATTAATTTTTAGTTTTATTTCTCATGTAATGATGTACAACCTTATCCTTTTACATACATGCATTGTCTTTGGTTTGGGAAAGCATTAAATTCATTTATTTTACTCCTTGTGGGAAAAGTTTGTTGGATTCTTGTTTTTGGCACTCTGTGTGCCTCCTGGAACCCATTAACGATGAATATTGAGGTACCACGGCACTTCCACCTGGCTTCTCATATGGGCAGAGTTATTTGCAGGACCAGCTCCGTCCACACAGACTGCTCTGCTTTTCAGCTCATCTGTGAGTCACCTTCAGCACAACAATTAATGCTCCTTTTTTCTATGGGAGCATCTATAATAAGGGATAACCAACCACTAGAATTTATAGTATACTGTTATTTGAGGGTAAAGTTGAAAAAAACGCATGCCTTTTAGGTGCTCAATTGATCAATATACTTAATATATATGTCACATATTCCTAAAGAGTCTGACAATCACCAATATTGTAAAAAGAACCTTTCTTCAAACTCCCAGCATCGTAAGGAAAAAGATGCGGACACTTGAGCGATTTGCCCCTCAATGGATGCCAACCTTCATCGCCATCTGTGCCACCTTCTGGGCGTCTTTGCAGCCCAGATTTGACAGCTCTAAACAACGATGGCTGATGCCCAAACCAACAAAACGGGTGACCTGAAAGGCTGAGCCAGCATTCCGTGCACAGGCTGACCCAGGTTTTGGGCGCTCTGGGCCGCCCAGCCGGGTCTCGCCCGTTTGGGGCCCTGCGGAGAAAGGCCCGGGCGGGCAAGTCGGGACGTCGTTTGCCGGCTGCTCGGGGCGAGGGTTGGGGGGGGGCAGCCAGGCGGGGGCGGAGGGCGGAATCCGACCCGGCTCCTCGGGCGCGCCCGGAGGGGGCGGCCAGCGGCAAGGAAGGGCCCCCGGGGGAGGGGGGGTTGAACGGGGCCAGAGAGACTTCCTCGGCCAAGGCGGGGGCCTCTGGGCGGCTCTGGGGACCCCAGAAAAGGGGCGCCTCAGCTTCGGCGAGGGGGTGACCCCCACGGCACGCGGGCCTCCTGCTTGCCTGCTTGATGGGAGGAGAAAGTGAAGGGTTCTTCCCAGGTCGGAACAAGCGTGGCCTGCAGCCCAGAAACAGGCTCCGCATTCATCCCCTCTCTGCGCCGGGGACGGGGCTCGGCTGCCATTTGCGCGCCTAACGCCGCCGCCCCGACGTCACCAGCGGCGCAGCCCCACCTGAGGCCACCTTCGGCCTGCGCTTGGCCACCATCGAGGGACCGAGCCACACCCCAGCCGGCCTCTGCCCAACGCGCGGACCTTCGCACAAGGCTCCGCGCCCGGAGCAGCCGCGCAGCGCAGCGACCCCCCGACGGGCCGCTGGGCGGGGGCGGGGCGCGGGAGCCGCCCGAGCCTTGAGCGACAGCGCCGCCTAGCGCCCGAGCGGGCAACGGCACCCGGCCGGCGCGGCTCTGCCTTCGGGCTGGGGGCCGAGGAGCTGCTCGGCAAAGGGGCGCTGCGTGGCTGGAGGGTCTCCGCCGCCCAACCCTGCGCCGTCCGGGCGGCTGCTGCGGGCTCCCGGGGCCGCCACAGCCCGGACGCGCCTCTTCCCGCCGAAAAGAGCCGCCGGAGCCTCGCCGCGCCGGAACCTCGAGCAAGCGCGGCCCGACCCACCGCCCCGGCGTGGCTGATGGGGAGCTCAGTCCCCGGCACCCGAGCCGGCTGCTGGGCAAGGGAGAAGCGCTTCGCCGTGCCCACGGACGGGGCCGCAGCGGCTCTCCGATGCCCCCCTCCAGCCACAGGGCGGTCTCGGGCAGAGACGGCGGCGGGGCAGGNCCGAGGTGGGGGGCTTCCTGGGCTCCCTGGACCTGCACGGCTTCTCGTCGTCGCTGGGCACCGCGCCGCTGGCCGACTCGCCGGGCTTCCTGACCGAGCGGCTGGGGCAGATCGAGGGGCGGCTGCAGCGGGGCTCGCCCACCGACTTCGCCCACCTGAAGGGCATCCTGCGCCGGCGGCAGCTCTACTGCCGGATGGGCTTCCACCTGGAGCTCTTCCCCAACGGCACCGTGCGCGGCACCCGGCAGGACCACAGCCGCTTCGGTGAGCCCGGGGCCCGTCGGCGGGGGGGACTCCCGGGGCGGGGGCGCCTCTGGGCCGGGAGTGGCGGGGGAGGGAGCGGCGCCCGCGGACTCTGCGCAGCCGCTGCGCTCCTTCGCCCGGCGTGGTCCCTTTCCCGCCGCCTCCCGGACTGACCCCCGCGCCCTTCCTGGGAACCGCCGCCCCCCGGCAGGTGTCCCGGCTCCGCGTTCCCGGCGGCGACCCGCCTCTCTGGAGGGCTCCAAACGCCGCGCGCCCCGAGGGCCCAGCGGCGCCGCGACGGTCGGCCTCCTTCCCGGCGTTTGCGAGGCTTCGGCGGCTCCAGGCGATTTGCCGGCGCGGACAGGTTGGCCTCCCTTCGCAAAGCCGGGAGGGTCGGGAAGGAGCCGCTGCCCAGAACGGGAGGCCCGAGTGCCGGAGAAGCAGCAGGTGCTTCGGGGACGGACGGGGCGGACGCCGAGCGGGAGCGCAGCGCTGCGCTTCTCTCGCCCGGGGCGTTTCGGAGTTCGCAGCCCCGGGAGGGGGGCAAGGCGTAGCTCGGGGTCCCTTGGCCTCGGCGGGCGATTCAGTTACAGTGCTAGAAGCGCTGCGGGCGGTGCAGGAGTGCCGTTTCTGCCGCTGGCCGAGGCCGGAGCGAGCCTGGGGACGGAGGTGCTGGCGGCTCTCGGCCCCTGTTCTGACCGGGCCGCTCGGACCCCGCTCCCCGCCTCGCGGTTTCTGGTTTGTTCTGCCTTCCTGCCTTGCAAGACGCCCCGTTTTATAACAGCTACGCGATTGTTTGCAACAAAGGGGACCCACCTACAGCTCAGTCTTAAGGTGACTGACTCGAAAGTAAGTTATGGAACAGAGTTTACCTCCTTATTAAGACTAGGTCGGCTTTCTTTGGGTTGTTTGAATTCTCTTTGAATGTTTTCAGCCCCTTCTTTCTCCCTAACCAGTTTCTGGAGGGAGGGAGGGGGGGGGGTTAAACAAGCTTTTAGGGATGAAGAAAATGTTCCTGTCTGCAACCTTAAGCAAATTTAGCTGGAAAAGCAGGGGAGAGGGAATGGCTTTACCTCCCAGAACAAGGAGTTACCGCAGGGCAGGGATACCAGCTCCTCTCCAGAATTAAGTCACTTTCCCTTCCCTTTTGTTAAAGGCAGCAGCAGCCATGCCTGTTTTCTGCAGACAAGCAGGGTCATCCAATACATTTTAGCATTCTGTAAGTATTTCAGCTGCTGGTATCGAGCTACGTACATGGGAACTGGCTTCTGATTTAAAATATTATGTCCTGCTTCTCCCAAACAAAGCGTGATTTGTTGTAACCGGAGGAAGAGCTGGGGGAATTGGTTAAGGACCCAGGGGGCAGAAGGAACCTGGCAGGCCGGCCTCATCTGCTTTCCCACAGCCCTGAGTAGTTCAAAGGAAGTAGTATGAATTGCAGAAAGTCTCCAGGTGTTCATTCTGGATTTCTTGTAGGCCAAGCGGGGGAGACAGGCCACAAGACAGGACTTCAATAGATCTTAATTATACCTAAGATTAAGCATGATTTCGGATAAAACAATGTTGTTGGTAAAGTGTAAAGAACAGAGAGCCACAACTTTTGGGGGTCAATGGGTGTGATTCGAACTTGGAGAGAATGTTATGGACACACTTACAAAATGGCAGCCTTGGTCGAAGTGCCAGTCAAAAAGGCACTTTTGCCAGAAGACAATGGGAAGATTGCGCAGTCTCTCATTTTATTTTCCAAGAAAACTTTCAGGATCCCTGTTGGGAATCAAATGAATTATTAGAAATACAGTAATGCCTGAACCAGATGTTTTACACCTGGCTAACTTCCCCTTGACCCCAACCTGAAGGAGTTTCATATTTTGATGTAATGGTAGACAAAACAATTCAAAGAAGATTGGCTAAATCCTTGCCATCTGTCTTGCCTTGCCTGGATCCAGCCATCTGTTAAAAAAAGGAACTAGGTCAGGTGTTAGCATAGACAACGTGCCGCCTGTTTCTCCACGAGGGATCTGGGAAGGGACCCTTCAGCCAGGAAAGCAGGCTCAGAGACATCGAGCCTGGTCTTTAGGCTTGGTTGCCGCAGAGTTCTGGATTTGGATTCTTTGTGGAGAGGAACAGATGGTGCTTATAACTAAGTGGAAGAAGGAAGCAACCTGCAGGGAGATTCTTGCAGTGAGTTGCCAATCGGGCTAGCAGGATAGAGTTGGATAGGCTGAGTCTACACAGGTAGCTCTGCAGCCAGCTGCCCTTGACTGAAGGACCAAGCGGCACCATGTTGGACCAGGACTGGGAAACGCCTCCTGCCGTCTGGGCTTTCTGTGCAGAAGGAGAAGGCCTGCCAAGCCACAGCTGCGCCAGAGAGCGACCAGAATGAGACGGCCTAGATAGAAACTGCCCCATAGACCAGCATTTCTCAGCCTCAGCAACTTCACAACTGGTGGATTTCAGCTCCCAGTATTTCCCAGCCAGAATGGAATTCTAGGAGCTGAAGGCTGCAATTCTTAAAGCACCCTGGCTGGAATCTCAAGTCCAGAAATTTTGAGTTGCTGAGGTTGAGAAATTTTGCTGCAGACAGTGGCTCTGTATAGCCATATAGGTAGCTTTGATGTGTCTCTCAAGAGACCATTTATCACAGAGGATTGGTACATGGACTCACCCAGACTTCACCTAGATGCATCATTGTTCCAACCAAGGGGTTATGTAGACTGGAAGGGTTGGACCTCAACCCCACCAATGCAGAAATCCATCAGCTGTCCCTCCCCAAGTCCTCCAATAAAGCAGAGTCTACCATTGTCTGAGGCAGTCTGTTTCATGGTTGAATAGCCTTAGTTTAGGAAAAGCTCATGTGGAACATTTGGATGAAACCAACCCCCTTGTTTCTGGTCCTGCCTCGTGGAACAGCTCTGAACAATCCTGCCCTTTGTCTCCATCTCAGCCTTTCAGATCCTTGAAGGAGGCCATCCTGTCTCCCCAGCGTCTACTCTTCTCCAGGCTGAGCCAACCTCTCTAACTGTTCCTCTTCAGTTTTCCATCCAGGCCTCATTTCATCTTGGTTACTCTCCTCTGACTCTGACGTGCTCCAATGTGCCAACGTATTTCCTTACGATATCCAGAAGTGCACGCGGTGCTCCAGATGTGATCTGACTAATACTAACTTCCTCTCTTTTGGAGGGAAGATGGTGGCCAAGCTGTCTTATGGAGATTTTTTGCCATGATTTTATTTATTTATATCTCATCCTTATTATTTTTATAAATAATTCAAGGTGGTGAATATATCCAACACACCTTCCACCTCCTATTTCCCCCACAACAACCCTGTGAGATGAGTTGGGCAAAGAGAGTGACCAGCTGAAGGTCACCTGGTCAGCTTTCATGGCCGAGGCTTGAACTCGTGGCTTCTTGCTTTCTAGCCTTGTGCCTTAACCACTAGACCTGACTTTCATTGATTTTCTCTGATTGATTTTCTTGAGGTATTCTTGGGAGGCATCTGGGTATAGGTTGAAAACTACATCCTTAGGGGTTGAGGGGAAAAATGAGTCTTGCACAACGCCTTCTCAATGGCAAGATCCAAATGGTGGAAAGGTCTACCAACCAAGCCCAATTCTTCATCTGTTCTCCCAGCAGCTGGAAACCCAAAGGAGTGGTGTTCAGGGGAATATAGTCTTTCTGTACAACCCCCAACTATGTAGATGGCAGCAATGCCAACCCTGAACTGATTTAACACCAGTTGCAACTGTTGAAGAAGAGATTTCTCATGTTCAGGCACCATCATTCCGAGAGCTTTATTGCACTAAGATGAGCGTCTCTCTGATCTGGTCAGCAAGATAACATTATGTAGATGATTGCCGTCCAGGTGTAAACTTGCTCTTTTAAAATAGAACAGCCCCAGAACAGCTTGGTAAAAAATCTATTAATCATTATATCTAGCAGTGGTCTTCAAAGTTGAGCTATCCAAGCAACCTTTCTCAGTATGAAGAGCTAGGGAGGAACCCATTAACATATCTTCTCATGCAATGCAAAAGAATGTTACAGTTATGTTGCAGTAATGCATTTCGTAGCCTGTGAACACAAACTGTCGTGTTGAACCCCTGAATGATTCTCGAGGAACCCTTCAGTTCCCAAGAACACCATTTGAACGCTGTCAGTCTAGAGGAGGCCTTTGGGGGAGGGTGCTGCTGCTGTGGAGTCCTTCGGCTGCAGCTGCCCAGCTGATCTCCCGTTGCCTGTAGCGCCATTGGGACCCGGCATAGGTGGGGCATTTCCTTGAGAGGCAGATAGGGCAGCGACCCTGAAAATTGGCAAGTGGGGAATACAAGGAACTGCCTAATAATCCTAAACAGTAACGGGTAGTCCTCAAGTTATGGCTGTAATGGAACCTGCCCATCATGGTCGTAACTCATGAAGTTAAAAATCAGGTCACCCATGTGACTGACCCAATTTTATGGCCTTTTTGTGGTGCTTGTTAAATGAACACAGTGGTCATAAAGTAACTGAAACAGTTGTTAAGTAAACATCACATTAAATGCACCAGTGGTTTGCTCTGAGCTGGAAGTAAACAATAGTTTGGGGCAAAACTGTCATAAAACCTGGTTCCATAATTGTGGGACGCTACAAATGGCCGTCAATGCAGCCCAGTTGTCAAAGGCAACTGATTGGGCAGGGGGCTGACCATTGGAACTTCCAATGCAAGTCATAAGTATCCCCAGGGAGGTTGTCTGTAACTTTGAACACAGCTAAACGCCCTGTCATAAGTCGGGGACTATCTGTACTTTCGCCTCTGTCATGCCTTGTCAGATCAGTGATGGTCAAAGCTCTCCAAGGATGCAGATACTGTTTCCCCAGCCTCTCCAAGAAGGCAACCATTGAACTTGAGTTCTGTGGCCAATGAACCTTTTCCAGGGCCACTAAGCCACATTCTACTCTGGCCAGTCCCAGCTACTGCAGTGGGAGAGAGTAAGTATGTGCCATAATTGAGAACATTGCTGCTATAAGCTGCCCTCTTTGAAAAGAGCTGGGGAAAACATGCCTTGCAGCCCTCTCTATTTCATTATACGCAGCCATTTCAAAGTTGGGGAATCTTTTAAAGGTCAACTTGCTACTCTTTTGAAGCAGTTTATCCTCCTGGTTCTTTTCTGTGTTTTAAACAGAAAGGTTCTGTTGTTAGTTTTTGTGCAATTGTTTTTTTGTTTTTAACTGAATGCAGGACAGACTGATTGTGACAGAAAACTAGGAAGAAGCTGTCCCCAAAATATAAATGACTGGCAGATCCTTGAAATGGGCAATTGTTGCTTGGACAGAAGACAGACTGAGAAGATAGAAGCTGGGGTGAAGCTGCCCTTCTATTGTGGCCTTTCTTTTGACTACCCTTGCCCCACTGTTGGAGGGCAGAGTTGGCTCTCCTGGAGGAGGAAGAGCAGGGGAGATCCCAAAACCCTAGTGAAAATACAGGAAGCTTGGTTGTCTATGGGCAAGTCCTCTCAGGGAACTTCAGCCAGTGGTGGTGGAAGCAGAAGCAGGGTAAATGTTGGTAGCAGTTATATGTCTGTGTTGTATACAACAATCCTGCAAGGCGGGCCAGGGTATGGTTCCATTCTGTGAGATAAAGGCTGAAGCTGAGGTCACCTGGAGACTTGACAACAGACATTAGCTTTGAGCAAGGAGGAGCATTTGCCAAGATGCGCTCTTTTGTGACTCAGCACAGAGGATAAAAACGAGGGGCTGAAGGTCCCCTCCGCCATGCCTTTCTCCTGGCCGACCTTCAAAGGCAGCGGGTGATCGAGGCGGCTGGCGAGGGACTTCAAAACATAAGAAGGCTTCTGGCAGAAGCAAATTTCTGGGAACACATTTGTGTGTATGTATACATGTTGCTCATGCTGCCTTGTACTTCTCATCCGTGCGCAGAAAGGGGTTTGCACCAGCGCTGGTCTTGATTCCCCAGACCTGAAAAGGTGTCCTCTTTTTGCCCGAGAGAGCCCAATTCCTCGCTTGGGACGAGAATTTCTGAGGTTGCTGCAGTCCTGATCCACAGGTGGTGGGGAGGCCTATGGGGCCGTTGTTTGAATTCCTCTTTTCTCCAGCAGCCCCTCTGCTGCTGGGAAGATTTCCTCCCCCCTACAATCCCTCCAGTGTTGACATGCAGCCCCTGTGCACCTGTTTCCAAGCAGCTGTTGGGTGGGGGTGGGTGTTGAAAGTTTAGATATGCAGATCCGAGTACAACATCCAGCTTGTTCAGAAACCCCATGGCCAGTGCCTCCCCCTCCGGGCTGGCCCGGCCTGGGGCTCAGCTTGTACAAGGAGAGACAGGTGCAAGTGGCCGGCCAAAGTTGTCATGAACCGATTGTCCTAATGCCGGGACAATGACTGGCAGCTGTGGGGGAGGCTTTCTAGGCATCAGGAATTCCAGAAGCCAATCCGGAGAGGCTCCACAGAAGAAACGGAGCAGTGGATATACAATAGTTGGCTGCAGGAGGAAAGAGCAAGAAGGGCTTGGGAAACAAACCCCATTTGGCCACTGAAACCGTGAGAAAGTGGATTCTTGATCCTCTCCCAGTGGCCACGCCCAGAGCTGCAAAAGCAAGAGAACAAAAGTTTAAAAGGCACCTAAGCTGACTTTGATTTGGCTGTTGAATGTTGCAAACCTCTAGGAATCGGCCTTTCCCCCCAGGTTGGCTGCAGGGTGTAGTCAAAAAAGTCAAGATGGCAGCCATGGTGATCCTGTCAAAGCTCGACCTGTTTTGACCAGGTGGAGAACTTTGATCATACCATCACAGTCACCATCTTGATTTTTTGACCAGACTCTGCAGAGACTTCTGTTTCCCTTCTTTAATCTGAAGCCTGCTCTGGGTATGACATTATCCCATTGGGATCTGGAATCTTAATCACCGAGGTTAGTAATGAGTAAGGCTGCCTCAGACTATCTATGGATTTGTTTTAGGACCTTCAGAACCTTTCCCAAAACTCAGAGCAATATAGGCTGAATAGACCAACATTGCTCAGAATGATTTCAAAGAAAATAGAGAAGAAATCACCTGTACATATGTGATGTGTGTGTATGTGCTTGTATAAATTTATTGAAGAAAAGCTTTTCAGAAACAATATAAAAATGTTCCCAGCAATTGAAGTAGCAGACTGATGTTCCTTCTCTGGGCATCCTCCAATATGGGTTTAGGGTGCTGTTCGGTCACCCAAGAGCAGCGAGTTTGTTAAAAAATAGGGAAACATTCAGTTTTTTATTAGTTGGACTACAGTGTTTCAGTTTCAGAAGCCAAAGAGTACTTCAGAGTGTGAAGGAACAAAGGCTGCCCCATCCACAGCTCCTTAAAGCAGCTGCATCTTTTCCCAGGATCACATAGCTGCACACTGCCAATCTATCCTACAGTGCCAGGAAAGGATTTCAAAACTTTCCAGATGGGCTTTCTTTGGACCAGGTGCAGAGGCTGTAAGAATTTCAGACAGGTGCTATGTGGGCATTTCCATGTGCCCCAAAATATACCACTCTATAAAGCCTTAGTAAGACCACACCTAGAATACTGCATCCAGTTTTGGTCTCCACACTATAAAAAAGATGTTGAGACTCTGGAAAGAGTGCAGAGAAGGGCAACAAAGATGATTAGGGGCCTGGAGGCTAAAACATATGAAGAATGGCTGCAGGAACTGGGCATGGCTAGTCTAGTGAAGAAAAGGACCAGGGGAGACATGATAGCAGTCTTCCAATATATGAGGGGCTGTCACAGAGAGGAGGGGGTCAACCTATTTTCCAAAGTACCTGAAGGCCAGACAAGGAATAACGGATGGATCAAAGTAGTGATCAAAGAGAGATTCAACCTGGAAATAAGGAGAATTTTTTTGACAGTGGGAACAATCAACCAATGGAACAGATTGCATTCAGAAGTTGTGGGAGTTTCATCATTGGAAGCTTTCAAGAAGTGACTGGACTGCCATCTGTCAGAAATGGTGTAGGGTCTCCTGCTTGGGTGGGTGGGGTTAGACTAGATGAGCTACAAAGTGCCTTCCAACTCTGTTATTCTGTTCTTTTGTGCCTTCAGAGGTGAAGTTCAGGTCTGCTTTCTAGTGGGCCTACAAACACAAAAACTTTGATGCTTGTTGAAAGACAGGAGATCCCTCTCTGAAGCAAGGCAACTTGGGTATCGGAACTGTTCCGGGACAGTGAGGCAATGGCAGTCATGGTTTAAAGTCAAGAGGGTGCTTTGGAATGAGCTTATAATAATAGATTCCACCCCTGCAGGGGATTGGACAACGATTCACAAGGTCTCTTCCGGTCCTGATATCCTATGATTCTCTCACCTACCAAGGGTTCATTTAGCCCAGGGGTAGGCAACCTTGGCTCTTTTATGACTCATGGACTTCAACTCCCAGGAATTCTGGGAGTTGAAGTCCGTGAGTCATAAAAGAGCCAAGGTTGCCTACCCCTGATTTAGCCTGATGATGTCCTTGTTTGCACAAGGATTCTTGTGACTGCCTCATGAATCTGAAAGCCTCGTTATATATCTCCTGAAATATATTGCATTATGCCCTTCCAAGTAGTACTCAAAAACCTTAGAGCTGCAAAAGGAAAGTGTAGTGCACTCTAATGATGCTCTCAAGAATGGCTGGACATCCTAGAAACTCTGCAAATAAATTGGTGTTTCTTCATTTTACTGTTTGAATAAATGTCTTTTGCCAATTTTTCCTTAACTCTAAAGTTTAGTAATTTCATTCTTATGAGTAGGAGATTCTGGGTTGAGGTCCTCCACTGTCTGTAAGGCTTTTTCAGAAGTCTACAAGCAGGATTGGAGGAATAGGGGAGTAGTAGTGAACTATAGATATTTCCTCCAGTGAAGAGAGTCATGATTCATCGTTGTGTTTCGCCACTGAAAAGATATTAGGATAGAACTCTTACATTGTTATCTAGTGCTCTTGGCAGGTACTAAGTCATTGCAATTCCTGACATTTATAAAAAACCAAGAAAAAACTATCAGGGATAGGGAGAGAGAACCTCTGGGCTTCTAGAAGAGTATAGTTTTGTGCTTGTTAGTGATGGGATAGAGGATTTGCCTCTGCTCATCACACTCTTTACGGGAGCCATATATATATAATGCATGTTATATGCACGATATACTTACAGAGAAGCTGAGAATTTTAGGTGCTGATACACACACCCCAAATTTGGTTTGGCTTATCTGTGGATGTGTGTGTGTGTGTGTGTGTGTGTGTGTGTATGAAAAATTTCAAAATGAAAGGACTGTGCCTCACATCCTCGAGGAGATAGTAGGGCTGGTTCTGTACAATCTCCAAAGTGATATGGTTTGGAAAGTTCATTGATCAAGAAGAGTGAAGTTTTTTCTCCCTTTTTCATTCTTCAAGTAACTCTCTTTTTTATTATTTCTAAAAGGAATTTTGGAGTTTATAAGTTTGGCTGTAGGACTGGTTAGTATCCGTGGAGTGGATTCTGGCCTTTATCTTGGAATGAATGAGAGAGGGGAGCTGTATGGATCGGTAAGTGTGATTCCTACAACCTTCTGACTTATCAGAACTTGATGTTATCCAGAATGACCTCCCTTAAATAACCTGGATCTGTTGGGCATTTGAAGGAGTGCCTGGATTCTAAGTGATGGGACAGCTGGTGTGCTTATGGCCCTGGGAAGAGCCATGAGTTGCAGGCATCTTTTTTCCTGAGAAGGAGAAAGGGAATATATAGCAAAAACCAAAATTAAAACTGCAAAAAGAATTCCAGATTAAATTGCAAAGGTCCAGAGCCACAATGGAGATGACGTAACTCCTTTCCACCTCACCTTGTATGAGCCACATCCTCACATGAAAGTACTATGGGGAGAAGGGTGCTCATTGAGGGAGCTTCCTACTCCAAGGAGGAACTTCCACAGGGACCTTCGGTGGCACACTGGGGATTCATGAGAGCATAAATGCCATCTTCAACATACCTCCAGGAAAAATATACATCTGAATTTCAGAGAAATGCATACAGTATTTGGACCTGTATAGAACAGATTCACCAAATTAAGTGGGAGTTACTGTAAATTGACTGTAAATAACTTAAATCCAGACAAATTGGAATGATTTGTTGCTGTGTTTACAAATCTTAACATAGTGAAATATGGAATAGTCAACAGACACAGAGACATGTATCCAGATAACACAATAAACTATGTTAAATATCTGTCTGAAGTTAGACCACCAGTAAATTCACAAATAGTTTAAGGGCTAAGTCATAAAACTACAATTTAGCCAAAAATTCTATAAGAGGGAACTCTCTTTGAGTAGCATTACTTTCTTCTTAAAAACTGAACCACCATCATAAATCAGTTCATTGTTTTGTTTTGCTTTGGAAGGTTTAGGGCAGGGGTAGGCAACCTTGGCTTTTTTATGACTTGTGGACTTCAACTCCCAGAGGTTGCTTACCCCGGTTTAGGGGAACCCATATTACCCTTTAATCACACCCACTACAAAAATTCCCCATCCTAACAAAAGGGTCTAAAAATGAGCCTCATTCCAATATTACAGCACTGATGACAACCACTACCCCTGTGCCCCCCGGTGGGGCAGTAAGAGTCATGTGACTTCAAAACAAGAGAGGTTGCCCACCTCTGTTAATAACCCAAAGTCTGGCGACTTGTCCATAGCCCTTTGAATGCTACACCTCCCTCCTGCTCCTTCTAGAGTATCTTTTGGCAGGAGAGATTAACAGGGTACCAAGTTGGAGGTGATGTCTGGGGAGGCTGATCCTCAGTCCTCCTGTTACCACAGGCTAGGGAAGGGAAACTACCTAAGCTGCCTTTCCTCCTGGTCCCAACAAGTGGTGGTTTGAGGTGGTTTCTCCAGATGAGATTTCCCGCTGATCTATCCAGGTCCCTTCCATGTAAAGTTAAGTAATATGAAATATATTTCCCTGATGGAGGGGATGTCCACCCTCCCATTTTTGTTGGTGCCGTGTGGTCCTAGGAACACCACCCCAATGTCCAATATGAAACAAGTTGGAATAGAATAGAAACAATCACACAGATATAATGTAAATAAAATGTAACATCAAACACTAAGTCTTTAAAATAAAGCTAAGACTAAATAATTAATTCAAATTGAATAATGTGAATACAAGGGCTCAGTTTCAATATTTTCACAAGCAACTAAGTAGTTATTCCTTTGGGACTTGGTGGACCTATAGTAGTATTTAGAAACAACAACTTCTTACAGTTTAATATTCACACAGCATAACTTGCTCCTTGGTGAAACAATTCTTATTTCTTTGATCCTGTCTCTGGATCACTCTAGTGCAACTTGAAAAGTAGACAACTTGCTTTTTAAATTTCTGTAATGGGAGTACAGCCCCAAAAGAGGAGGGCAAAGAAGCGACTTCCATCATCTCCAACAGAGGCACATTGTTGCCATTGATCATTGACTGAGGAAGATGCCAGCTTCTAAGCCGTACCATTAGACCACATTAGAAAGTTTCAGTGGGATCAAAGATTACGATAAGCCAAGGGATTTCTAACCACAACTTGCTGTTTAAGCCACATTGGACTGGGCTGGCACAAAATGCAAAGCCAGAAGTTTAGAAACCATAGGAGATGTGTTGAACTTTGTGCCATGTAGGATTTTGGGTCAGCTTCCATTCCTTTAGGATGATATTGAGACGGGCTAATTTTTTGCACAGAACTGCAATAATCGAACAATAATCGGCCCTAATACAAGAAGTTCTGGTGAACAAGAGAAAGAGACAATGTAATCTTCCATCTTGATCTTGGAAGGAGGGCAAGATAGAAATCACTCAATCATAGTTATTAGTCATCTTTGGGTTGAGTCAGTGCGATTTTTCCTTCCTTTATTAGGATTGTTTTTCATGTCTCTCTTTTTTTCCTTCCCACCTTCTGCTCACACAGAAGAAGCTCACACGGGAGTGTGTTTTCCGCGAGCAATTTGAAGAAAACTGGTATAATACCTATGCCTCGACCCTCTACAAGCACACTGATTCCGAGCGACAGTATTACATTGCCTTGAACAAAGATGGGTCTCCCCGAGAAGGATTCAGGACTAAGAGACATCAAAAGTTTACTCATTTTTTACCTAGGCCGGTAGATCCTGCTAAGATACCTGCAGTGTACAGAGACCTTCTCCGCTACAGGTGATACTCCCTGCAGCTTGAGAGCCTATATGGGTGTGAATGCACATGATGGTGTAGCATACACACAGTTGGGTTTCCAAAGTTTTTGCTGGAGCACTATAAACCTATTCCTTTCACCCCTCCTGCAAGCCTAGTTAACGCATAGAGAAGCCCTTGCCTTGAATCCCTTGGCTTCCAAAGAAGGGTACAAGAAGGATGGATTGAGTCCCCAGGGAGCACAACAGGATGGGGCAGAGCTTGGAACCCTACATAGGATCGTTTTCCAATTACATGTACAGTTTGGTGGGCTAAGAAGAGGAAGCCGTTCACACTGAGCAGAAGAGATTGTGCTTGACAACCACCAGCAGCATTGATCCTGAGCTATGCAACCGGGCACAGAAGAATTCAGAAATAATTTGCATTGTGCTCAAAAAGTTGGAAAGCTTGCTTGCTAAGCTGGTCCTTTGCGACTTGCCAGATATTGGTGATCCAAAATCTGAGAACTCATGGGCTTGCATGGTAGTAAAAGTGGAGAATCCAAATCTATTGGATGTTTGGCTCCTCAGGAAGATGTGCATGAATGTGGCTTTATATGTGCAAGCGCACACTTTGACGTGCTTGTGTTTCCTTCCGTTGGAGTCTGATAGCAGAAAGGAGGAGGTGAGATCAAAGAACAAACATTTTTAAGATGGAAACACAACACTGTTCGTAAGGACAAATCTATTTATAAAGTGTATAATATATTTATTTTATATATTTATTTATTTCAAATATATATATAAATATATATATGTGTGTATTATTTTTTAAATGAGAGATATTATGATCCAACTTTCTTCAGAAAGAATAAGGTCCTACTAATGTAGGAAAAAGAGGAAGGGACTTTAAAGAGGTTTATCAGCAATAAAATGTCTATATATTGCAGGTGGCTTGTTAATTTATTGTAATCATACTGATTCATAATTTAAGATTTAAAACCATGAATGTGGAACAGACCTACAATTACAGAAAACATCCTATGGTAAGTGATGGAGAGAGGCAGAGATACACTTGGTGGATGGTTCTGTAGCTATTTCTGCAAAACTAGCCCTATTCAGTTGTTATACTATACTAAAAGAGGTGAGTTTAGAATTGTAGCCAAATTTGAATTACATTTGTGACAAATCCATTTCCCCCATGTAGGAAATCTGTTTTTGAGCTGCCCAGAATTTGCTCCTCTAAAGAAAAAAAATAGACTTGGTTTTCTCCAAGTTAACAATTGGATCATTTTCACAACCTGGGAAACGAACATGAGTGGGAAGCCCAGAGCTTCCCCATATGGTATTGCATTATAGTTCCCAGCATGCTAACCTGGTGAGGTTGCTGGGATTCTGGAGGGCAACCAGTTCCTGGTATCCTGCCCTGAAAGATGGCAGCCATCAAATCACAAGCTAGTGTGACATTTTCTATTAAGAATTTTTACCTCATATAACACATGTTACCAGGACATTTCTACTGCATTTGTACAACAGGTCCAACTTTTTTTCAAAATGAAGAATTGAGAAAAGCCATAGATAAGTGTTTGGATTCAACTATCCCAGGTTTCTTCTTGCTACCAGTCTTAGACAGACAAGGACATAAAACGAAACAGAAATTTCTCCATAAACTCCATAATTGCATGGTTGGCGCATGGACTTTCTGCTCAGGATGCCTCTTTCATCCTGATAATTCTCCTCTGGCCATCATGTGGGTGAGGTTAGCGAGGAAAGAACCCTCTCCTAGACTGCCCTGGGCTGGGTTGGGGTGCTAAGTAGAATCCGACTTGCTTGGCATGGATTGGGAGGCCCTCCAGGGCAGGGCTTTTCAACCTTGGCAACTTTAAGATGTGTGGACTTTCATTTCAAGAATTCAGTTTGGGAGTTGAAGCCCTCACATCTTTATGATGCCAAGATTGAAAAATTCTGCTGTAGGGAAACACGGCTGTAGGCTAGACTGAGAAGGCAAAAACAAACCAGAAGAAGGCAAACTGCCATTGTGCCATTGCCAAGAAAACAATATAAACATGCCAGGAAAGATTTGTATAATCATTTTTAGAAGAGCTTTAGATTTCAATCCGTTTCCATTTGGTTTCTTCTCTGGGCCCCTGGCATGTAACTGTAACCGAATTATTAATCCCTACTTATTTTTTTGACTGTAACAGAATTAAGTGGTTCAAATGTTGTATCCCAACTGACATTGTAGTCCTATCTTTTTTGACTGAGTGTCATTCAGATGGATTAGGGTTCTCTTTGCATCATCATAGCCTTCAGTCATACTTACTGGAGAAAACGGGGGAATTGAAATCTCACACATCTGGAAAATAACAACTAAGAAAACGACTGTTTTAATCTCTTGAATACAATCTAGAATTCTCCTTGTTTTCCACTTTGATGATTTCCCTAAAAAGGGCTCTGGGAATTCTAGGGCCAAGATGAAATCATGTTTTTTCATTGCCTAAAACATTATCTAGTGTCCTGTAAATAATTTGCTACATATGTGTTTATTTTTTTACCTTTAAACTTCCACTTATTCCTCTCAGGGGGAAGATCTGCTGAGAAACACACCCAACTTTTATAAAGGCTGAATTAAAGGTTTCAGTTGGAGTTTGGCCAGCCCTCCTGCGTTCTGACAATAATAGTCTTGCGTAAGAGTATGCATTAAATTGTTTTGATCCTTTATCATAATATGGATGCTCCCAGTGGACGTCCGACCATGATCTTTAATATATGAACCATGTCATTCCCCACCATTTTGAGATAAGAACCACCCCAACACCCCAGTGAAGAAGAAAAGATCACTATAAATCCTGGCTTTCCTCAAGTAACCTCCTGGCCACAGCAGGCCCGGGTGGTCAGGCCATCCAAGGAGTTCCCAAGACTGTGTGGGTGGAGCAGGTCTGTTCCCTGGAATCTTTCACCTCCCTTGTGCTCTGGAGCAGGCTCTGCTTCAAAGGAGACGTAGGATGTGCTTCAATAAAACCAACCATTAGTATTTAGGTTCATGAAAAGGTTCCTGGCTTAGTAACCTGAGTGAAATGGCTTTGTTTCACTGTACCTTGTTTTTTAAAATTTAATCAATGTACATTTAATGGTATATCAGGATGTGTCTGTCCCTTTTTCAGTTTGCTAGGGACTTTGCGAAAGTATACGAAATGTACAAAAAGGCTTTGGCATTGCAGCTCTGGAGGTAGCGACCGAGTCCTTCTGCAGCAGACACAGAAGGTTTTCAGCTGGAACTCCCTGCCCTAAACTGACCTCCAAATTCCTCTTTAATCTTTTGTTCAATCCTAAAACTATTTCACATAAATGTAATTCCCATGCACAGCAAATGCAACAGGCATCTATCTTGAAAATCTATAGTGGATTTATGGCAAATTTTAAATCCTTGATAGCTTTTTTTCAACTACACATCAGAGATGATCCTTATTTTTTATGTCTTGATTCTAATTTGATCAGGTGGATAAATGTAATACAGGAGACATAAATGTAATATTGCAATATTCAATGAAACACCAATAAAACTCTCAACTACTGTAAGACAATGTCATCCTTTTTCAATAAATAGTTTCCATTATGGTCATGGTCATATGCTTATGGTTCATAAAACCATAAAACACAAATATTCATGAATTTTTGTTTCACGAAAGAAAATAAGGAACTTCTGAGAACAAATGCAGGCAACCTATCAAAAGTAAATAAAGCATTTCTGTCTACTAAATTGGAATATAATTCCTTCTGTGCACCAATGTACAATATTAATTGAATGGCATAAATCAAAGTTACTATCAGTGAGCTACAGATACTATTGAATTATGAAAAAAGGAAAATCTCTTCATCCTGATGGCTATTCTTTTGCATAGCATAGAACATTTTTTAGCCTATATTGTTAGAGGTTTATATAATCATGCTTTTTTGAATAAAATATTTCCAACTTCCTTTGTGAGGGTTACATAACCACAATTGTGAAAATTATTAGGCTTTCTGCCAACTGTACAATTTCATTCAATTTTCTTGTTAAATCTAGTGGAGAAAATTTGGAGAGCAATCTGTCCATCCAGCGCAATCTAGCTTCAAAAAAAAAGGGGGGGGGATTTCAGCAAAGCATTTGATACAGTTCCACATAGTGAACTCATAAGAGGCTACGATGTAACCTGTGGGTGGTTCAGAAGATAGGAAGTTGGTTCAGGGACAGATCCCAGTGTGTCATTGTTAATGGAGCACTGTCTGAGCAGACAGTCTGAAGCCTCAGTCCTAGATCCTGTTCTGTTCAGTGTGGGTATAAGTGATGTAACAGAAGGATTGCTAGGTAAGATTTGCCTTTTTGCTGATGACACAAAGGTGTGTAATAAAGTTGACATTTCTGGGGGTATTCGTGACATGGAAAAAGATTTGGCATTGCTGGAAAACTGATCAATACTGAAGTCCAAGTATACTATGTTCACAGCATTTTACTGGTCCATTAATTTAATCATTTTGTCAAAGAAGGCAATACGGTTTGTCTGGCATGATCTGTTTTTGACAAAGCCATGTTGGCTTCCAGTAATAGCTTTGTTATTTCTAGGTGTTCACAGATCTGTTGCTTGATTATTGGGCTGTCTTTTTATTTAATCCCAAAGAGGCCGTTAGCATCAAAAGTCCTGAAAGGAAGAACATCTGCTTTCTCTCTGAAGCTCTTTATGCCAAAGGAGGAGGAAGCAGACACCAACAGATGCCAGCAAACCTTAGACCGTATGACCATCAAAGTTCAGCTGTCCTAGGAATTGTCTGCTGGGATAGACATTTGGGAGAAGTTCAGTAATTTAGATAGCTTTTTCCAACCTTGAGCACTCCAATTATATGGAGGATACAATAGAGGATTTGGGGAGTTGAATCCCTGGTGACCCAAGTGATGCTGTTGCTGCCTTAAGAACAGATGCATATAAAGCCAGAATTGAGATGACAGCAACAAATAGCAAATGCCACCCCTGCAAAGAAGCTGATAAAGTAGTGGATCACCTCGTTAGCTGTTGCAAGAAGATTGCACAGACTGGCTACAAACAATGGCACGATAAAGTAGTAATGATGCTGCATTGGAAGATCTGCAAGAAATACCATTTACCTGCAAACAAGAACTGGTGGGATCATAAATTAGAGAAAATCATAGAAAATGAAGAAGCTGAAATGTTCTGGGAGTTTAGAATTCAAACCGATAAGACACCTGCCACATTATATCTGAGACTTAACAATTGCCAATAAGAAAAACAAAAAAATCTGGATAGTGGACATGGCAGTATCTAGAGAGAGCAGAAGAGAAAGACCTAGAAAAGATAACAAAATATGAAGAGCTGCAAATAGTACTAGAATGACTGTGATTAAAAAAGCAAACATAGTACCAGTAGTAATAGGTGCCTTGGATACAATCCCAAAATAATTGGAGCACCACTTGAACACCACCGGCATTGACAAATTCACCATCAGTCAATTGCAAAAGGCAACTTGGAACATCTTACATCTTGTGATGATATCTGTAACACCATCAAACATCTACATCTGTCTATCCCACATTTTTGGGAAGGACTCAATCGTCGAACAAAAATGCCAATTCCAGTCTGAACACCTGGCTGACTGTGACGAACCATATCATCATCATCATTATTGATCGATTGTACTTGCCAAGATCTCAGGGTGGCAGAGGACTCTTACAGGTGAAACAAACTGTGGAAGAGGAAAAACATGGCTTAAATGACTACATAAGTAAAGCAAAAGAGCTTCTGCTGAAGGAAGTGAACAAGGGAAACCCCTTGAAAAAAACAAGATTGAAAGCAGAGTATTGAAAGGAAACAACTGAACATCAAGTTTCTAACTGGTCAAAGAAGCCTATGCACAGTCAATACCTGAAGGACATTGAACGAAAGGTA